ATATATATATATATATATATATATTTATTTATTTATTTATGTTTATGTTTGTTAATAATTCCTGTTTATTTAACTATATATTTGTAAATACTATTGTTTAAATTTCTTATATTTTCACGTATTTTTCCTCTCTTGCAAGGAGCACCTGTAACATAAATAATTTCCCCTCAGGGATCAATAAAGTATTTCTGATTCTGATTCTGATTCTGAAAAGCATCCTGGAAGTATAAACAAAGAGAACATGTAAGACAGGCTGGCCGCTGGCAATCACAGGAGAAGAGGAGAAAGAGAAGAAAGAGGAAGAAAAATGAGGTGGCGTGAGACAACAAATTCAGCAACAAAATGACATAAGACGGACAGATGAAAAAAGAGAAAAAAGAGAAGGAAAGTTGATAGCATAGAATTGCACAGAAAAGACGGGAAAAGGGGACAACAGCAAGAAAAAAAAGCAAGAAAGGAACAAAGAGTGGGTTTGATAAAGCAAAAAATGGAAGCACGTAAGACGGAAATACAGCAGGGCAGAGCAGCAAAAAGACACAGACTTGTACTGCCCAGTGAGGGCAGCTGACAAGGCCGAGGACTTGTGGGCACATACTGTAAGACTGCATGCACTACTGTGTGCACAAACAAGCACACACCTCCCTATGGACCACTTCTCCATTTTCACCAAACAACCAGACCAACTGCTGCAGAGCTCACCAATAAAATACAACACTAGTATGAGCTTCACTGGAATGCAAAAGGAGAACACTGGAATAATGTGTCACCACAGAAAACTCTGCTCATGTCTGAGCCAAGCTCGCTACAGCAGCATCGGAAATCAGCACCGTCCTACAGACAGTTGTGTGACAAACCAAGCCGTCATGCAACAGCCAGTGACTGACAGAGTCCGATTCTCAAGGAAAATAAGATTTTACAGTTTGTTTTCTGATTTCACTCAGTCGTCTCTGGGCTTGCACACCAAACACAGTCTACACTGCATGTGCTGCTTGCTGGGTAGCTGATGTAGCTGCCACTGAGCAGCACAGTAACTCGAAGTCTTACAAGTCCTAGTGGCCGTGATCCAGTCAGCTGCAATGATTTTAAGTCTCTGACTGTTGCTTTAATCTGAGTCCACCAATTATTTTGAAGAACATTTTACAGTCTGTCAGTACCTTGAGATTAAAAGTGAAGCTTTGTGGAGTTCTCACCCTTGCTGAATTGTGGAATTTCCTTTGGACAGAGAATGAAATCTTATACCCAAATTGCTCCCCCGCGAAGGACACTGACCATCTGTGTTATCAGCAAGACCTCGATATGAAACACCTTCCACTATTGAAAAACCCTGTAACATCAAAAGGATAGAAGGGAGGAGAAATTCCTAAAGGAATGAAAAAAAGCACATGTTCTCAGTGAAAAACTTTTGTTTGCCATGTTCAGTGTTTGGCCTCAGCATGTGTGTGTGTGTGTGTGTGTGTGAGCCCTGTCCTGGCAATGGCCTGATGACTGCTGGTTGGTGACACAAGAACAAACACACAACCACAAGACTTAAATCTGGATCCAGACCTGAATCTTGTGAGCGTTATAACAGACCCCTGCTTTTACCACAAACAGTTGCAGCCTGTCAGCCGCCAAGTGACACTAGTGGAAAAATGCAGCCACAGCTAAGATTGCAGACACTTTCACCATACGCAAGGCCAGATAAGTGGCACCATGTCAGTGGTTTAACAGCACGATCCCCATATTTGTCATTAGATAGATTTGAATAATGTAAAGTAAAGAGGACTGCCTTCAATGAGGTTTTCATCAGGAGTTATAATGCTAAGGTCTTTGTAGAAAATGTACTGGGTTTGCCTTAGTTAAAAAAACAACTGAGAGCCAAGCAGAGCACAGGAGCAGATGAGTGAGTGGGAAGGCAAGTAGCCAACGCAGAACAGCCTGCAAGGTCCTGTCATGAGTGGGCAAAACCATGTTGCCCACAGGAACCAAAACTATCCAGCAAGGTTGCACTGGCTGTGCAGGAAGATGCACTACAGCAAACACAGTTCACAAACATAAACTCTGCTTACTTCACTCCACATCTCTTCTTGCATTTCCTCATTTTCCATTTCTCCTCCACACTTAAGCTGTCGCACCAAAGATTGAGAGGGATTGGGACAGCTAACATCTTCCTTAAGGCCTATGAGTGTCACCACAATTTCAAAAGCAGATACAGTACTAGACATCTTTGGTTATATCATAGGAATTATTGCTGAGTTTTATTCCCCACAAAACATATACTTACACAACACATCACCTATTCCCCTTCACTCTCTTGCCTTCTAAACCCAAAATCTTTTCCCCACTGCTCTTTTTCTAACCTGCCAGCACACAGGCCAGATGTGCAAATGTTTCTCCATGTTTCTATTCAAGCCTGTTCCAAGAGAAAGGCAGAGTGAGGGGAGAGGAATATTTGACTTCACTCCACGGGAGACCAGTTTCATAAATTTTGGCGGCTGCACAACGGTGAAAAAGGTAGCTTGGCTGGCTTGGCCGGGGGAGAATGTTGACGGCATACCAAACAACATGATCCTAATGAGTTGGAAAATCCCTGGCCCTCCAGAGGACTGTCCAGATGCTACCGTCATGAGAAACGCTACTGTTTTATTGAATGCAGGCTCCCCTCCCTTTCTTTAACAAGGGGCAAAATTTATTATTTGACCATTAAGGCATCCTAGGCGACATGAAGCGTAAAACTGTTTCAGAGTTAATTTGCCCTTGGCTGCAGGTCCAGTACCCCACACTGGGCACAAGACAAGTTGATCTTTATGCCAAAGTGTCTCATGTAAAGGTGTATATTTGAAGACCTAAAGTTTTGGATATTTGCTTGCACTCCTGGTATAGGATATGCTGCTGATTTGCCCATAGCTTACTAGCTACTATCAGGTTGACTTGTTTTGGTCGAATGACAGTCTGGCACATGGTGTGCTGAGCCCTGAGAAATAACTGTTAAACTTTTCATAAGACAGTCAAATCACTTTAAGCTCAAGCCAGTTCCATATATCTCTCTTGACAATTTACTGGTACTGAGAACCAAGCATTTTTTTAGTGAACTAAACAAACAAAGGACCGTAAATGTACTTTATGAGATTTCAATAAATCAGCTACAATGATGAACGCATTACCATCCAATACAATAGCCTAAAAGAGACCAGATGAACAAAGTGATGTAGTTTCTTCTTTGACTATTCATGACTGAAATACAGCATGAACCGCTAAAGGGCACATTTGTCTTTTGTGTATGTGTGTGCAAAGTCACTGAGTTGCTAATGCAAAATTTATATTGCTACCCTACAATCACCAGTGCAAAAGAAAAAAGAAAAAAGAAAAAAAATGCAGGGAGCCTACTGCCATGCAGAGCAATTACAAACACATGCACTAGAAAAACAGCTTTGGCTCCTCTATGATAAACCTGCTTTCTTTCTCCTCACACACCTAATCACTTGTCTGCTGGATGGAAATCCAATGTGCAACCAAACAACGCAGTGTCAGTGGAAAGGTCAGGGGTCATTCGATCTCAGAACCCACTGGCTATTGGTCTGACGATGTCAAGCCTCGGAGAGCAACAGCCAATGTTTCAAGGTTTCGAGATATTCGGGCCAAGACTACCTCTTTCATGTACCGGTCATTACTGCTAATCTTTATAGACAGATATCTGCATATGGATGAAGATAAATGTAGGAAAAACTAACAAAAAGCTAAATTTTCATCAAACGATAGCCAATGGGTTCCGAGATTGCATTGTGGCCAATGCGTTCTGACTCTTTTGCACTCCACACAAACTGTTTACCTGCTGCTCAAATGTAACTGGTCAGTACTACTCGTACTACGAATGGACAACAAACGTAAACCAAAACTCTTCCGAGACCAAAACCTTGTAATGCTGCCTACAGGTTCTGCATACATATGTAGATCAGTGGGGGCTGCTGGTCTTTCAAACAGGGGGAGCTCACTTTAAGTTTACATCATAAAATTTGCCATATTGTAGCGAGGCAGTAAGTTATAAAAGGAAGATTTAAATGAAGCAGTTTTCAACCACACTCATGCCATAGAACCACAGCAAAACACACCTCAAAGATTTTCAGATGAGTTTAACGGTGAAAACGAGCTCTATCGCTTATGGAAATAAGGAACTCCGGACAGCACTCTGTCAGAAGACTCCACTCGCAAATATCCGCATGGGACTGAGCTCGAAATGCGATGATACCGGTGTGTATTTCCAAAGATCTGTCAATCACAAAGGGGTTCAGCCTTTTAGACAATTCCTCCAATCATCATGCATACACCGAGCGTCCTCTCCCGCCTACCACTCCATTAGGTCCCAGGGAAGTTAGGCCTCCATGGAAGTGACAATTGTGTCGCATTTATCCAATGACCGTCTCGCTTTGCTGCATGAAAAAAACCTGCTCAGCGCTGTCTCATAGGAATGCTTGGAGGCTTCACGTCCACCATGCTGACATGAGAATGTATGACAGGGAGGTCACGTTTGACAACTGGTGATAAACAGCTGACGTTTGAACATCATAGTCATGATGTTAAACACATCCTAGCGCACGTTTAATGCAATGTAAATTCTTATTTTAATGTAAATTCAATAGTGCATATTTGACCATTTCTTCTAGGAAATTTTAGGGGAAGTTCAGCCTCCCTTGTTGTCTCAGAGCAATCACCCCTGATGTAGATATATCTTTTTATAGAGACTAGGGGTCATTTGACTGACACACATACAGATATACAAAAACTCAGAACAAATTCATCACACACAAATCCCTAACTACCTACAAGTGAAATGTATGTAGGTATGCTGCAAAGATAAAGGTAAAGTAAACGGGTCTGCAGTAGCTGCTCAGAGATCAGCAGAAAAATACTTTTTACTATTACCTTGGTCAGGCATCAGAAAATAATGAAACTAAATTATGGTTTAAAAAGAAGAGGCAAATTCAGTTAGCTTCAAATGGTCTACTGTAGAGCATGTTGTTTACCTGGAGCTTTGTACACCTCACGGAGCAAGCTTTCGCTGAGTGTCAACGGGGCTCCATTGACCAGGCTGTGGGTCCAGCTCTGACAGATTGCTTGGAGCAGAAGCGTCTGGGCCCTTGTGGCCTGGACAGTGAAGTGGGGAAGCTCAAAAATACACTCTGTGGTGGGGACCGAATTCCTTTTACTCCTGCAAGAGAGGGACATTAGATGAAGAAAGACAGGGTTAGATAAAGGATAGTACACAGGGAGAAAAAGAGACACAGAGAGAGTCAGGATACAGTGACAATAATATATGAAGGAATGGAGAGTTGCACATAAGCGCCAACATACACTTAATGAAACAGACACCGGTGGAAACAAATGGTTCATGGCTTCCATGAATCCATCAATATAACATCACAATATAAAACAGCTCATTGATAGCGCGAGTGGCCAAATAGGTAGGACTACATTCCAACAGCAAATTGAAGAAGTACCAAGTGCAAGCCAAGCTTTCCTTAGTTACTTGGCAGGTAGGTGTAGTTTGCCTCTTTGCCGCCGACCCTTTTCTCCCCTCCGTCAAAACTGTGATGATGATTTATGTGAAGAGATGTACAGCCCAGAAACCTGACCCTGAAAAGAATCTCTACGCATTTAACATTTCATCTGTCTCCAAGAGTGTGGAGGGAGAGAGTTTGTGTGAGTGTGTGTGTATGACAAGCTGATGAGTTGAGCGTTCAGGGGGATGAGGTAACAGCACAGTCGGATGGAGTCCTCCAGGCCCCTGTCCATCAGAACCTCAGTGGACCATGCTCTCATTTATCATCTGACACACACACACACACACACACACACACACACATTATGTATTTGTTCTTCAATCCCCCCCTTTCTAGTATTTGCCTCACTGTCTCCCCTATTCACTCTGTAATCACTCATTTATATCCAAACACACTGAAACACACTTCTCGCACATCTCCAATACCACACACAAAAACATCTTGACACACATACACTGCCCATCAAATCCCTGAATCAGGTCTCTGAGCTCTTTTTCTATCCAGGCTGTGAAGTAATGGCTCCTCAGTTCTTCAGATCTCATCCATGACATCAGCAACAGCAGGAGGAGGGAATCCCCACTAAACGTACACACACACCAACCAAGGAATGACATTATACACAGTGCTGAGAGTGATAGAGCACTTGTCATCATCACAACTACTGATCTGTATCCTTCACATCTCTCTCTCTTTCTCTCTCTCTCTTCCCCTGTCCTTCCCTCCCTCTGCGTCCCCAGGAACCTCTGTTCACTGGAAAAACACCCAGGGAGCCTGAACTAAACACTGCAAAACAAGCCTGTTTGGTTCCACTCCTGTTTTCCTCTCTTCTGCTCTGAGAGGTTCTTCAGCTGGGTTTTTGAGGACTGGCAGTGCCCCCAGCCTAGATACACATCTACTTTTTAAGGGTGTGTGTGCGTGCACATGTGCTCGCTTGACTACACATTGTAATGGAGGCAAGCGGCGCTGCTCTTTGTGCAGTGCTTTCGGTGAAAATAGAACCGTGACTAATTCCAGGGATGGCTGCGGCGTGTCAGGAACGAGCATCACAGTTCATTTAATCACACATCCATTTTGGTCTGGTCCCAGTTCAGAGTGTGGGATATGTCACGGGGTCTCTCCCTCCGCTCGGCAGCTCTGCAATCGTTTAACTCCTCTGCTTCCCTCCCTCTCTTTCTCTCCGTGTCTCTTTATCTTTCCCTTTCTTCTGCTCCTGGGTGGTTCTGCAGGGTGACATGAGCTGTTAGCTGCACACAGGCAGGCCCAGAGTTCTTAACTGCCTGCTGTCTCAGAGGGGGACTACTATGAGACAGAAAGAGAGATAGAGTTTGATAAAGAGAGATGTTAAAGTATAGGAAAAACAAAGGCAGTAAGAGAGAGAAACTCCAAACGTGACAGGGTCAATGAGTTTACCTTGACAGCACACATATACATTTTGAATTCCCTAGAAACATATGGTGCATTTGGCACCATGGTGAACCAAGCAATGTCATGCTCCTCTACTATTAGAAATCACTACTGTTGCATGCTATACAGCAAGACATCAATCAAACTGATTTTCATGAGTGTTCAAATGTGTGCACGTCTGTGTGTGTGTACACGTAGCAGACTGCTGCTGAACAAAAGAAAGTGAAGGGGACCCAGCAACAACAATGTCCCCACATGCAGAGCAAATGTGCCTGCAAAGCCACTTCAATGAGAGGACTGGCAAGGGATGAAAGTTTGTTGGCTTATTCCAGTGTTTATAGCGTTTCAGGGGAGCTGTCATGTGCATGTGGTCGTCTAAAACTTTAATTATGCACCTGTTTTTATTATATTATGCCCAATTCTTTGCAAACAGCAACTTGGATCTTGGAGCTAAATGAGAAGCAGAAACTCTCATTAGGGTGTTTTGGGAATGCTGGATGTGAGGACAGCCAGACACTCATCGGATTTCATTAAGTAGCTGGCACAGACAGTGTTTCTTGCTGCAACATGGTAAACAGCTTTCTGGCAGGCAGTTCTTTCACTGTTACCACAGGCTTTGAAGGAAACAAAAGTCTCAAAGAGGTGGAAATGGAAGAACTAATAATACCTGCGTCATTAATAGCAGTAAGAAATGACTACACTACAACATACATCTTAAAATGTGAAATATGGGCAACTAACAAAATGCAGTCTACTGGTTTAGTACAGTATCCATACTAGAAATGGACTCTGTAGCCTGGGGAGCAAAAGTCATTAAAGCATACTTCTACGCTTATAATGTGGAGACCCACCACCAAAACCCATTTTGGATCCTGACTCATAATTTAAGAAATCAGGTCCTTGGCTTGAACTTCAGTGCACATTGAATAGGCTGTCTCTGACCTCACAGTAGTCCTTTAAGTCAATAACTTTTTTATTAAAACACAGAGGCCACCAGGAATATGTTAAAAGGAAATCAAAATTAGTCAGGAGCTATGAAAAATTAGGTGTTTCAATTTCAGCCAATGAAATATGCTTTCCTCTGGTGTATTTCAACAACATTAGGCCTCATTTCCCGACCTGTCCTCCGTCGGTGCCGTGACTGAGTGACAAAGAACTGGACCAGGGCTAGAACAGGCCAGTTGGCGGACTTGCTGACTGCTTGGCTGGGTAACTGGCTGACTGGCTGGCACAAGGTCTTTCTGTCCAGTGTCCCTGTCAAAATCAGGCCCAACAGGGCATGGTGTTGTGCAGGGGGCGTGAGTCAGAGTCATAAGCACTGTACCAGCTGTGGTGCTCTTTGCCTTGACTGTTTCCTCTGTGTACATGCTCAAATGTGGACATAAAGCAGGGACAGCAAATTATTTTTAGTCATTAAAATGAATGAGTGAAATTGAAAAGGAAGTTGACTTAACAGAGGACCCTCACAAAACATTTTTTGTTCGTTCCAAACAAGGCTGAGAGCCATCTGGTGACCCATTATGCCATTACGAGCATAAGGTATCACTAGCTAAGCCTAACCTCTCATTTAATCAGCCTCTAGGTAACCCGTGTCTGTAGCAAACCTTTTTCACAGTATAATAACTGAGATCCATTCGGACCATTGGTTCTCAGGCTAATCAGCTTCCTGGTCTGGTCTGACTGTGGTCACAACTATATTTAGACAAATACAGCTGGGGCTCTAGCTAACAGGCTGTGATTGCTGGTTTACAGAGGCCACACACAAGCACAAAAATGCAAAAAGGCACACAAGCACAAAAATGCACATACCTGTACAGACACAAATAGATTACTCTTTGCCAATATGCACATATACTTAGATGCCAGCACAAATGCTGTCACAGAAGCACACGTGTATACACACCTGTACATGCATGCATACAAACCAGTAACAGCAGGTTGGTTAGCCAGAGCACGATCGGCGGCAGTAATGAGGCCACAGCTGACAAGGGGCCTGCTGCTCTAACAACCTCTAAATGCAACAATTATAAAACTAGCTGCCAATATGAAAGTCAGAGAGGTTTGTGCGTGCGTGCGTGCGTGCGTGCGTGCGTGCGTGCGTGCATGCGTGCGTGTGTGCAAGCATCTGCAACAGTGACAGAATGCTTGTTCTGTAAGCTGAGCAAAAAGGGAAGAGGTATAAAGAGAAACAGAATCAAACCCTGAAGAGAACACGAACATAAATGAAGGGAAAACAGCAAGCATAGGCAAGAGAAGGATAGAGACCGCAAACTTGCAGGTCATATGTTATTCTCCAGGTAAAATAATACCTAACATGGGGAGTCTCATTAAAAAAGCCATTTGGAAAAGCTCCAGTACAAACTCAGGAATAGCAGAACTGGTAGGTTGTTGCTTTGTACTTTTACAGACAAAAATAAATGTAGCCTAATTAAAGACGGCTGGTTGGGGTATGTGTCTGTGTGTATACACAATTAGGTGAGTGTGTGTGTTGCGTACATGTAGATGGGCAGTAATGTGTTGAAATCTGGATATGATGGCATTAGTGCAGATGTTCTGACAGAGGACACTACTGAGAAAGCAAGCATGAAGCAAACTAGAAAGCCTAAATTGCAGGGCCAAATGTGGTCAGCAAATTCTTTTTTTTTTTTTTTTTTTAAAGATCCACATCTTGCCGTGATTGAAGGAATATCGCCAAGAGCAGCTGGCCCTAATGGTTTACACAGTGTCCCAGAATACAAGCTTGGAACCTGTGCACAGTTTCCAGAAGGTTCATTTTTGTTATTACTCATATCCTGTACAGTACCGAAAATCAGTTTCCTCACTCTTTCCAAAATACAGTGACACAGACAGCTATGGGGGCTGGGAGGTCGGCAAGAGATGTGGAGCAAGGTGTCTGGACTGTCAATGGACCGCAGAGAGAGAGGGAGGCACACTCACACAAACACACATTCTCTGACACAGGTGGAATTTGTCTGTAATGGGAGCTTAATGGGAAATTCCAAATGAACTGGAACATGACACCAATAAACTGTTTAAAGTTAAAACTTAGTGGAAGTACTCAGAGATAACATAGACTAGATCCAAGAAACTAAAAGAAACAAAAAGTCAACAAGATAGTCAATCAATTTTGACTGGCCGAACAATGTGCTACTTTCTCTTGACTTAAACTTATCTGTGTCCACAGCAACGCCAATGTAATCCATTATGGGCTGACATATTTGTCTGATAGATACAACAGATAGCC